CTTCTGAAGCTGCTGCCCCCGCGACCCGACCCCGGATAGGCGGAAGAAAATGGATGGATGGATGGATGGATGGACGGTTTTGTTGTTTCCATGACTGATTTAGTTTTTGTATGTAGCATTTTGAGATTTATGAATGTAAAGTGCCCTACTAATTAAATCCATTGTTATCAATGATAGTTTGTAGATTTTTACTCATCTCAGTCGGTGTTTTGGTTGTTTCTGTAGGTAAACAAACACATGCTGGTTGTTTTTGTAGAATATGACAGAAGATGTCACATGACATGATTTACGCAGTTTGACTAAAACGGCTAAAACTCATTCCCTAACCAGATGATGCCAGTTTAAAGCTGAYAGGTGACTGTTGGACTTTTAGTTGTTTTGTTCTCATGTCTCAGTTTCACCAGTTTTATTCAAACGTTGCACCAAAAACATTTAATTTATKACGTTATTAACTAAAGATTACCATAAATGTCACACAGAAACAAGACAGGAAACACGCCTGCAAAGTTTAATAACCACCACTGTCCAATCACGGCAGAGCTCACAAACAGATACCTGATGCTTCAAATAACAGGAAATAATAAGAATAAATTCAGCTGAGTCATGTTTCCAGAGTCTGCTGTTCGTTTGGTCCCAAAAACAAATGTCAGAAAAAAAAACAAAAGGAAGTCCAAAGTTCAGTGAGATTCAAATAAATATAACAGCTTCCAAAACATTCAAGGAGCCTGGAGTTCTGTCAGGACCAGAACCAGAACCAGAACCAGGTCCAGTCCAAGATAACCAAGGTAAATGTACAGGTGGAGTAAAAAACATTTACAAGATTACAATCAGTAGCCTCATAAAGTGACTTTAACAAACACAAAGAGAACAGATAAATAATAATAATAAAGAGCAGCTGAAGGTTCAGAGTCTGAAACAAACAAACTAAATCTCATTTAAAAAGATTATCAGTTCAAACTAATTAAAAATACAAAAACATTTCATCTGTTTCCTACTTCAAGTGATTCAAATGACTTCTGTTGAAACAACATTCAGCTGAGAGAGGAAGGAAACATCAGCAGCAGAACCTGAACAGGTCCGATATCTACACGGAGKTTCTGTCAGGAACTATGGCTCAGACTGAGGTCCACATCCAGCAGAACTACGGTGTGGTACGAGGGCCAAAATTAAGACTATTACACAACTCGCAGTTTCTACATCCTTGTAGCAGGAGGTTATATCTGTTCCTAATCCAGTTATTGATCTGATTAAWGATAGGCMGACACCGCTMACTGAGAGGACGCTGCTGGCTAACGATAAATCTCTCCAATGCTAACACCAGTTTATCCATGCTAGTTGCTAAATGAATTGTCTCCTTCTCATTCACCGGTGCCGGCCTATCATTAATCAGATCAATAGATGGCTTCTTAAAGGGGCAATATGATGTCAAATCAATTTTTTTGAGTTTTATATCACGTTATAATGTTATACTCTCATAAAAACATGTCCAAAGCCTTGCTC